CTCTAGTAAGCAGTTTTACTGGGAAAACTCGGCTGCTACGCCAATGGGAGAGAAGTGGGACCGGTGTGACGGGTTCGCAGATGCGAGTCGCTCGGCTCTCCGCGTATTACCTCGTCGTATGTAGGCATATACGCTGGAAACAGCCAGCAATCCACTCCTTCAGCTCCTTCGGACCAAGAAAATCTCGGATAACGGTCGATTGAAAACCATCGATTTTTCGTGTATTTATTTACATTGTCTCTACGAACATAACGAAATTGTCTCTTCTTTGATTCTTATCCCGCGGCTTGATCATGAATCAATCTTAATATCTACTATATCCTGATTTCATATCTCAAGGCACAATCGAGTAACGCCCAAAAAATCGCATTAGCTGGAATCGCTGGTAGCTGATTCACGATAGAACACGCGTCAAAGAAAGTGACGCAAGGCGACAAATCCGCGAATGGCTGGTTAATCGCGCGACGACGCATCCGCCATTCTGTGTCTTCTTCGTGTCTCCTCGCCTCTCTATTCTCCTCTCTTGCATTCGTGCACGAGGGCGCGCGCACAAACGCACGCGGAAAACGTGCCGGAAATCCGTGCAACAGGTGCCGCCGGCCAACTTCTCGCGCAGTTTCGCAGAATACTGGTACAGTTTCGGGGGCAGAGGAAAGGTCACGATAAGGAGTTGATCGACATGGTGCGTCGTGTTTTCCAATGGGGAAATCGATTATTAGACGTGGCCCGTGCGTAGTCAGAGATATTTCAGCGATAACGCGACTGTGAGAAAGAAGCCTGCTTCTAAAGAAAGAGAAAGAGAAAAAGAAAAAGGAAAGAGGAAGAAGAAGAATTGGAGGATAGGTAGGCGAGCTTCTCCGCGCTCCTCGATGATAAATCGCTGCGCGAGGTGCTATGTATTCTCGTGTCATCGCGTCGAGACTGGCTACCGAAACTCGTGGACTTGTTCTTGTTGTTCTTTGTCTTTCTACCGAAACTACGTTTCTCTCCCTTTTTCTCTTGCCGGCACTCGATCACGACGTGTCTCTAAACAGATTTACGAGCGACACATCGGCCACAGTTCGTTTTAAAAATGCACTTCGGTGTTTGAAATTTATTGTGTAAAGTCTCAATTCGCTTGGTACGCTCGATTTCAAGCAGAGTAGTTAGGTAATATCGGTTCGAATGAAGTTAGCGTTCCGTTTTCTTATCGAGAGCCTCGTTGCCGGTTATTCGAGCCGTGGCCCCGAGTTTCTTCGTTCGATCGCGTGGCGTTCGGTTAATGCGAGTCTCGTGTCGCGATTAGCTAGCTTCGATGCCTCTTTCACGGTTAACGAGCAACAAGAGAAACGGAAGAGGTCTGATCATTTCACGTATATATGGCGCGACGAAGTAACTCGCCTTGCTACTCTACCTACCGCTAATTGCGATACCTTTCCTGTCTCTAATGATAATAATGATAATAATAATAGTAACAACAACAACAACAATAACAGCAACAACGATAAAACAATCGAGCAAAGTGAATCGAAACGCTTCAACCATATAAGTATCCGAACGCGGAAACCGACCTGAATTTTTCCCAGCCTCGATTGTGCCAGCTTATTTGTTGTTTTTACCGTTCATCGAGGGGGAAACTCGAATTCGTTACACTTACTCGTGAATGCAGACGGAGCTCGTTACTTTTCTAGCAGTCCGTCAAAACAACGACGCGCCGCCGACAGCCATCATCGGTCCGGACGTAGAGAACGTTTAGGTCGCTCGGTCACGTTCGACCACTCTCCATCGAGGAAAAAAACACCGTGAAGGGGACACAAAGGAAAGCATCGGAGCAGCAGGCTCTCTAAGCACGCAGCCACGCAGGCACGTAGGCACGCAGCAGCGTGGAGATACGCGCGCTACGTACTTACATTACTTATACAACGGGCTTGTACGCGATGCGTGTTGCGCGTAGAAACGCACACGAGGGACACGTGATACGCGGCTCCAACGTATCCCACGGTCTTTCGTTGTTGCGAGGCAACGTCTCGACTCCCTCGGCGTACGCGTACACTCGGAGAACGTATGTACGTAAACAAGTGAGTAGGTTGTTTTACCAGAGGGTGAGATATGGCTGCTGTGCTTTGTGCACTGTTTCGTAGTGTCGTTGCACGTTTGACGAAAGTCTCGATGAGACCGAGATGCGATCAAGAAACGGAGAGACGTTATAGAGAAAAGCAATCGTGAAAAGATAAACGAGGCGGGAAATGCAGCGAATGATAACGGGAAGCGTAAGAAGCCCAGCATCGTGCGACCCCTTATCGCGGGTCCAATAGAAGTCGCTCTTATCATTCTAGCTTAACACGGCCAGACTTGGACTCTTGGCTACATAGACGAGAGGAGAGATTAGATTTTCTTTCTCAAGTCGATCACTCGACACCTCTTAATTGCTCCAACTTTCTTATCGAGAGATCACCCTTATATTCTTCTGTCTCGTTTTCGATCTCAGATTTTGTTGACTGTTTTCCTAATGAACAGAATCTCTCTCTCTTTCTCTCTTTCTCTTTCCCCCCCCCCCCCCCACACACACACACACTCTTTTTCCATTTCTTATTTCTTTATCTCTCTGGGAGCATTCTTGAGATCGTTTTATTTGGCCACGAGAGTAGAGTAGGTCGTCGTGTGGTATCTTCTCGCGGAAACGCGATCTTCTTTCCCCCATAGCAGCGCATCGTGACTGTAGCGAGACGTGTCTCGTGCCAGTGTACTACTCAATTTTGTTTCTCTCTGATTGAGTCTATATGCGAACAACATCAATCGAGCAAAGCCAATCAAAGGAAATTTTGACGATGTTCGGTATAGAAGCTGTTCTGGTATCTGGCGTACCATGCGCGAACTTACGAACGAGGGTTAAATTTAGCTTCGATCTTCTCTTAGGAAACGTTGAACCCGAGATGTTTCCATCCTCGTCTGTCGTTCTAGTCGATTCGGGGTTCCTGCCGTGCGTCTGTTGGTTTGGTTGGCCGGTTGCTTTCGCTCCGCGGTCGTCCGTGGCCCTCCGGGATCCGCCACGATTCGTCTACAAATATAGGCGGTAGCGAGAGTCGGCAATTCGCGTGGTTTTCCTTTCGAAACAGCCACTGTTATTTCTACCGAGAAACAAAACATCATAGTAACAGTGATATCCGGTCTTTAGATATGTTTTAACGAGGTGGCACATGTTCTTTCCCCCTCGTGTCCTCTCTCCTTCCTTCCAGCTCACCTTCCCTTTGGTTCTCTAGCCTTCGTTTACATTTCTTTCTCATTTCGTAAACAACAGTTTCAAACTACGGCTGATGCGCGAATAGACGGCCGCCGCCTCGCATTACATCTCATTTCTGATGCGTTCACCGCGCGTTCCATTTTTTTCCGCCCTCAACCCGTCGCTTAACGCCACGTTGAACAGCACAGTTTGCGACGCTCGTTCACCAAGACGGACTCCAGAAATGCTCTTGACGGTGTACGCGTGATAAGCGTTCTCTTCGCCTCTCTCGACTCGATGAGAGAGAGACAGAGTTTTTGTCGCCGATCCGACCGCCGTTTCTACGGTCACAAAATGAAAGAACCTCTTGTTACACACGGCTCTTCTCGGGGCCATGCGGTTTTACTCAGCCCCTTCTCTCTCACGCCACCCGTCGTGGATAACGTCTTGTAGTGGCTTCGTTTTTCTTTTTCGCTGACGCCCGAACCGGGACACCAACCGTTTCGCAATACTCACATACGTTCACGTCTACGTTCACGTTCACGACCGTGAAACGGGTCTACCCGATATCGGTATCGGCCTAGCGGTATACGCGTCTTACGCACGACCTCGCGTGTCCACCGCATCGTGTAAATTCCGGCGATGTTGCAAACCTCTTATTTGTTCGAGCAAAACGAGAGAGAGAGAAAATGAAAGAGCGACTGTCGGTGATGAACGCGCATGTCCCTCGAGAATCAGGAATTCCAAGGTCGACGAAAGGCGGGAACAGTAGCATATTCAAGGAAAGCGACTACACGATAGTCATATCCATGCATGTGGGTGGACACATTTCTATATTTCTCTTACAGGAAAGTGTTTCTTTACAGGAAGATACCTCTGGAGTTGCGTGTTGTCTCTATGACGTGTTCGAACCACAGGAAAATTTCAGTACGGTGAGGCTGACCAGTTTAGCGCCCGAATCGAGGTCTATTTTATTGTAGAGATGAAACAAAGGAGTGGTATTATCTTAGCGAATATCGTAGCATCTCTACGAATAGATATTTATCTTATTATACGAGATTTGCGGCAGGCTTTCTTTGAGTTCGCCTAGGATACTCTTTCTCACGAATAGACTCGGGAACGAATAGACTCGGTAATCTAGGCACCAATTAGAGCCTGAAAGAATTCAATAGACAGTCGAAGCGTCGTTTGAAAGTGGTGAACAGAATAGAGAAGCGTTAGCGCAATGTAAACGGCCCGAAGAAAAAGAAGAACGAAAATGTTCTAAAATATGCTATGATCTATGAAACAGAATAAGCAGAAATGGCCTGTTTTTACAATTACATTCGAACGTTATTGATCAACGCGTCACGCGAGATACATACTCCTTATCGAAGCGTCAAGAAGACCTCTGGAATCGATCGAACTACGTATCATTATATATGTCGTGTCATCAAAGTCTAGCGTCCTACGTCGGACGAAACGGACCACGTGTCATCGTAGATTCGGACAACGTCTCGGGCGCAGCTAGAGAGTCGATCGAGCTTGATTGTGAAACAAAGGCTGGCGCCGATAATACATGTGGTAGAATGGTAACGGTAAGAAAGTCGAGCAGAGAGCGGAGAGGTATTGCTGGGTCTGAGACTCGTGGTATCGGGGCCCGATGGAGCGAGGTTGCCAGCTTTCTAACAGAGGCCCCGACGGTGTTGCGAGATCGCGGAGGCGACGTTGTCGGACGTTTGGAAGGTAGAGGAGGTGGGCGAGTACAGTGCCAGAAGAGCGTCAGGTAAAACGCGACAGACAGACAGAGAGAGAGAGAGAGAGAGAGAGAGAGAGAGAG